GGCCTTCAGAAGTGTTCATGCCTCTTGGGAGAACCCTTCCTCCGGAGACGGGCCAGGCTTGCCCGCCTCTGATTTTCCCAGCCAGATGTGCCCGGAAGGCTTCCCTCTTCATTCCCAGAGCCGCCAGCCTGGCATTCCAGCCCTATGCAACTGCATCAGGAGGCCACACAGGCCATCCTCCCTGTGCCCCCCCCCAACCCCACACACACGTGTGGGCCTCATCCGGGAGCCCCTCAGCTGCCAGGTCCTGTGGCTTTCTCTCTCGGGAGCCATTTTGTCTCTGAGAACAGAGCTCAGCGCTTCTGAGAAACCCTTCCTGGTTTCTCCAGCCATAGTGCCTGCTGAAGCCCTGTGGCCCAGGCCGTCTGAGCCAGTCATTTGGTCTTAGCACTGGCCACCTTGCGCTGCTGGGCCGTGGAAATCACAGCGTGACCCAGGCAGCCTCCTATTTCTAGAACACCCTTTTCACCCCTGAGCGCTAGCCGTGTTCCAGATGCTGCACGGCATGGGGGCTGCAGGAGCCACGACACAGCATTTTCATTAAGAGGAGTCTGGGGCCTTGGGAGGCCACGACTTCTCATAGGCCCATTCGGTGGCAGAGCGAGGATTTGAACTCGAGTCCCTGCTTCTGATACGCGGCCCCTCCCATTTTGCCGTGATTCTCCTGTGGCCTGTCTTTCCCAACTTAGTGAACGGCCCTTGGAAAGTAGAGGCTGCCTTGTTTAGTCTCGTGCCTGTGGTGCTGGCACAGTGCCCTCCCCACCCAGGCTGGCACATGTCACCCGTAGGTGGAAGAGCAGCCCGCCACTCACTGTGTGGAGGGGTGCCTCTTGTCCCTTTCTTCAGCAAGTCTTCAAATCCACCTTCAAGATATAGCTTCCACAGAAGCCTCTGTCCTTTCAGAAGAGACAGTTGTTGGCTCTTCGGCCCTCAAGTGGGTAAGGGAGCCCTCAAAAGGCCTTCTCAGACCACCTCTGCCAACCTGCTGGGCAGAGGACTCAAGATTGACCGCCCCAGAAGCCGATAAAACATATGCCGAGTGCCAGGCATTGTGCCAATGGCAAAGAGATACACCGGTAATTCCTCTCCCTTCCCCCCCCAAAAAAAATTATTAAAGCCAGACCTCAGATTGAGCAATGAGGATACATTGAATCAAGTGCCTGGAGTGATGTATCCAAGATGGTGACAACTAACCTTACTGTCTGAGGAGCTGGGAAAGGTGCTCTGATGAGGAAATTATACATTCTGTCTTATGGATAGGTAGGTAGAAGTTTGTGGGGAATGGTTAGAGGAAGGACATGCTAGGCAAAGGCAGCACTGCGTCCAAAGGCACTGAGGAACCAAGAGAAACTGAGTAGTCCTTGTGGCCCAGGGCACTTGGAAGGCGGAGCTGGGGGAGATGGGCCATGGTGTGAGGTGTATTCAGAATCCCTGGCCTCCGTCCTTGTATCTAGAATGTCTTCTCTGATATGGGCCTCTACTTGGGGCCTAGCTATTTTAAGTTTCCTCATTGGAGCCTTCAGAATCAATCCATATCCATGCACAACATTTCTTAACATAAAATAACTTCAATTTTCCTTTTATAAAAGCATTACATGTTCATTATAAAAAAGAAGGGTGGGGGAGTTGGGAATAGACATGAGAAAAAAAAAAGGGGGGTGGGGGGAGACTCATAATTGCTCCCCTAGGAGAGAACAACTCTCAACGTGTTAGTGTGTATCTTTCTACTCCTTGCCTTTTAAACGGAGGGATGGTGTCACCCATATTATTTTGTAACCTGCTTTTCCACCACAGTAATGACCTGCGCTGTCCTGTTTAGTAGTGAACTGTGTGTGTCATGGGCTATAACGTGTGCAGTCTCTCCCCTTTTATTAGACATTGGAGTTACCCCCTCTTTGTCACTATAAAATGTATTTTTAATTATAAAAATAATGTGAAAAACAAAAATTGGGAACATTCTGGGAACCACCTCATTCATCCTTTATCCTAACCCTTCAGTGTTCTCTCTCAAGATGTATTCCTCTTCAGGTCCTTTTTCTATGAATAATTAATGGTGTGCACTCTTTTTAAGAACACAGATTCTTGTTTTCCTCCTGTCAGTCATACAAGATACCCTGGAAGAGGTTGAGTGTGAAGGAAGATGTGGTTATGACCTTGGTGGCACAGCTGTAGCTCGTCTTTTGCCTCACTCTGCGTTATTCTAAATTTCTACCAGAATTTCTGCCAGAGCTTCTGCCATGGCGCATCCATACACGGTGAACAGCAGCGGTTAAGAAGTTGTGAAAGAAGTGTTCTATATAAGTAAATATTCCAAAAACTCAAGCCCAGCCCTTTTTAGGTGTCAACTAAATGCATTTAGTTCATTCTTTTTTTTTTAATTAAGGTAAAATTTATACCCCTTAAAATTCACCATTTCAACCATTTTAGTGTACAGTCTTGTGGCTTTTAGTATAATCACAGTGTTGAACAGCCATCCTCATGATCTAATTCAAAACATTTTCATCACCCCAGAGGGAAACGCTGTCCCCATTAGGCAGGCTGGTCCCCCACCCCCAGCCCCTGGCACCCCTCGTCTACCTTCTGTGTCTATGGATTTGCCTGGTCTGCACATTTCCTATAAATGGAAATTGCATCTAATTTTGTTTCTGCCTTTTTTCTCATAATAATTCATCAGAAATGTTTGTCTAGATTGCTGATACTTTTCTTAACCATCAGTTTAAATTTACGCCTGATTTATATTCAGTAGGTAATATATTCTCGTGACTCAGAATTCAAAAGGAACCCAGTGGTCAGAGTCACACCATTGTGCTCCTTGCTTTCTTCACCAAAGAGTCTTGGCAAGCTTGTCATTAGTGCAGATAGACATTTAGTTAGTGTTCAAGCTTATGTTCTAGTTTAAACTGTGAATAAACTAGGGGGGTAGTAAAGACGTGGCTATTAGTGGCTGGGCATCAAGATGTCCAGACACAAGACCCTTTTGGAGTGTGACTTGGAGCTGGAAGCCGGAAGAGAATGGAGTGGGCCTGAGGGCCTCCACCCGTGCTTTTGGCCTGGCCCTGCTCATGTCGAGATAGACCTGCTCTGGGGATGCTAGAGTAATGGGGAGACAGGGGCAGGGCCGTCCTGGGTTGGAAAGCCTGGGCAGCTGGCTCCCAGCTCCCTCCTCCTGCCCCTCATGGGGCCGCTGCACTGACAGTGCCTTCGGGACAGAGGTGAGAAGCCGGAGTGGCCAAGTCAGGCACTGAGCCTTGCCTCCCATGGGGCCCCACGTGTAATATTGTTTAACACCAAGCCCAGAAAATAGGCTACTATTTCATACTAAAATATAGGTTAGTAGGTCCTAATAGTCCTGGACTTACTAACCTAGTAAAAAACCCAGCAGGGGGTTAAACGTGAAACTTCTATCTCTATGTTTACAATTATGTGTCTTAAACAGCCTTGCAGAGGCATCCTTAAAAGAAACCCTCACTTAACGTAAGTTTTTCCATGGACCCCACACCTCTAGCCCTGAGGGACATCGCTTTTATGCAGTTGTGATGAGTGTGTGTTTGTGCATGCGCGTGCACTCCACATTTTAGTACACTTTCCCCCTTGCAGGAGGATGAAAGGGAAAGAGCAGGGGCCTTGGAGTCAGGCTGGGATTGGTCCCTGCCTGGCCACTTACTGGCCAGGGGACCAGGCACAAATTCTGCCATCAGGCGTCGATCAACTCATCTATAAAATAAGCGTTCAGTTCCCCCTGTACTGGGGGTGGGGATGGGCCTGCTTTGTGGCATGGGCTTTCTGGATGTGATCTCATGTCACCCTCCCTGAGACCCCACAACTCCAACATGTCGCCCAGGTCCCAAAGTGCCTGGCCATCTCCAATTGCATCCTTGCCCCCTGACCAGCATGGACTCCCGGCTGGCAGGCTGAAGGCAGAAGGCAGCTTTGGGTGGGCTCCAGGGAGCCCCGATGTGGGGAGAGAAAAGATGGAGGCTCTGCACCCTCCCTGAGGCTGGCCGCCCACCCCAGCCCAGACAGTCTACTTTGGGCATCTTCATACTGCATCGAGTCCCTTTCTGCCCTGCTCTTATCTATGGCTCATTGTGGTTCATGAAAAATGCAGCTTCTAGGGCTGGACTTGTCTGGATTGGAAATAGGATAATCTCGGCCACTCTGTAAAAAGCATTTGCTAAGTAATGCTCCATTGTCCTGAATGGAGAGAAGTGGGAATACTCAGCACCTACCTGCACATCCCACTGCCAGTCTGTACCACAAGCTTTTGTGTGAGGACTTGGTGCCTTCTGGCCACCCAGAGACCCTGCTGTTGGCTGCAGTCTGACGGGGTGGTGGGGTGAGTGGCTGGGGCTCCCTGGAGGAGATGGAGCCCAGGTTCAGGTCTCTAGAAAGTGCCAGGATGGCAGAAGGGAACAAAGAAATGTGGCCTCACTGCAGGGAAGGGGGAGGAATCCAGGGATTTGGTACTTGGGAAGGGCCTTGGGGTGGTGCAGGTGTCTATGGATGAGGAAGTGGACCGAGGATGCTCTGGGTGGAAGTGATGGCTTGACGGGATTCTGAGGGAGTCAGGCGAGGCTGGGCACAGAATCTGAAGGGACTTGTGGACCCCTGTCCTGTGTGTCATGGGAGCCATTGAGGGTTTGCGAGTGGGGTAGGAAGTGGCGTGATCAAACCTGTGTTTAGGAGACTCAGGCAGGGATTGGAGGTGAGATCAGGCATGAGGACCGTGGGCTGTGGGTATTGATGGAGGGGAAGGAAGGCGCTTGACCGTTTTGTTCTCATCTATCTGGGGGTGGGGGTCCTGGCTCTGCTAGGTTGTTGGTGTCTTGGAGAAGCTTTGGGTTTACTGTTGCGGGGTGGGGAGTAGAGGCCTGGCTCCCCGGCACTGGACCAGAGGCAGCTGCCTGTGTGGTCACCGAGGAACGGTACAGGGCCAAGCTGGCCCAGCCTCTCCACGCTGCCTCATGCATCCCATGTCATTGGACACTTATGTTTTTTAGGGCCTCCTCTGTCAAGGACAGCAGCTTCGTGGAAAAGATGAAGAAGACGGTGAGTTTTCTCTCTGTGCTCTCTGCAGCGAGTCTTGGCCTGGTGGACGCTTGGGGGACCCCACCAGAAGACCAGCTGCACTGGACAGGAGGGGGTGGGTGGGAACCCAGGCCCGGCCCCCCTACGTGTACATTATCATCTAACCAAAGCCCCAAAGCTGCTCTGCTGTTGCTGGGACAGTTCCCTTGTTTTTTTGAATGTTTACTTCTTGAGCAAACCAAAGTGTAAGAATAGACTGTCCTAACTCAGGATGCCGTCCCGTCTCCTCCCTCCCAGTCCAGGCTCTGTCCATGAACATATGTGAACCTCACACAGCTGTGATCCTGGCACAGCCAGTTTTATCTGTTTGTTTTCATTTACTTAAGCATTTCACTGTATGAGAGGGTACTACATTCACATGGTTAAAATCCCAAACATAAACCATGCAGTGGAAAGCCCACTCCTGTCCCTGCCACTCACCACTAGTGTTCCTAGTATTTTACGAACCCTTGTAGAGCTTCTTTTTATTATTATTATTATTATTATTATTATTATGTTTCAGGTGTACAAAACAATGCAATAATTATCCTTTTCACCTCTCACAAAGTGACAACTCCCGCCCCCAGCCACTGTCCCCCCCCCAATATCATACATATCTATTACAATTCCATTGACTCCATTCCCACACTATATTCCACATCCCTGACTATATATGTATTAAATTATAGTTGACATATAATATTATAAAACATCAGCTTCATGTGTACAGTGCAGTGATCAAGCCTTTACCCCATCCATGAAGTGGCCTCCCTAACAAGACATGTGACCATCTGATACCCTACAAAATATTTACAACATTATTGATTATATTCCCCAAACTGTCTTTTCTATCCCTGAGACAATATTGCAGTTACATATTTATGTTTTCTCGTCCCTTCCCCTTCTCCCTCATCCCCACCCCCTCCCATCTAGCAACCATCAGTTTTTCCTCTGTGTCTCTGAGACTGTTTCTGTTTGCAGTACTCGTTTATTCAGTTCTTTAGATTCCATATATACGTGAGATCATATGGTATTTGTCTTTCTCTGACTGACATATTTCACTTAGCATAATGTTCTCTAGGTCCATCCATATCATTGCAAATGGTACGATTTCCTTCTTTATAGCTGAGTAATACTCCATTGTGCAAATGTACCATAGTTTCCTAATCCAGTCGTCTACCGATGGGCATTTCAGTTGTTTCCAAGTCTTGGCTATTGTAAATAGCGCTGCAATAAACATAGGGGTGCATATATTTTTTCGAATTAG